GTCTGGGATGCTCACCCCTCTCTTTTTTCTTCAGATACTCTGCGTATGCAAAAACTCAGCCAATGCTCAGCTTTGTGATAAAGACGCTGTTGCGTGTCTTTATCTCTGCCTTTAGGATACAATCTTTTTATAATAGAAAATGTTCACTTCTCCCATTTATTTCATGCCTGGACTTTCTTAAGGTGGTGGGAGATGGTGTGTCATTACTCTCTACCCCTTCCTGGCTGAAACAACATATGAGTCCATGGTGGAACTTCTTTGGGGAAAAAAAAAATAGGACTGTTTGACTTTTGCCGCTCTTCCCTCCTGAAATATTTTTTAGGCTATCAAATAAGCACTATTACGCATTGAGGAGGCTTTGAAATAACTTCATCAGTGAGTCTGGAGGTGAACTGGGATGGCCGTGTAGCTAGAAAATATCCCTGTGGGTGTAGGAATGTACTGTCCCTTCAAACTTGTGTGTCTAGGGCTGAGCTCACACATATGACAGCAAGAGTTGTTAACAAATTAGATTCAGCTTTGGCAGTTTTATGCTTAGAAATGCAAAAGAATCTTAAAAGCTCATAAGTTTTGTATTTTTAAAGGAGAAATGGTTTGCTTTATGTTGCAGAACCAATTTTTCTTTCCATCATAAAAGGCCAATTTCCAGAAACGCAGGGAAAGGACCCCCTCACCACAGTGCTGTGCGTTTGGTCGGGTTTTACTAGGGGTTTCAGCAAAGGCAGGAAATGCTGTGGGAATAACAATGCCAGAGTCATCTTTGGAAGTGGAACTCAGCTGGTGGTGATGCCCAGTAAGTGGCCATGTTTTATTGATATTTGACCAAACAAGTAAGTCCCATGAAGTTAGTGGAGATTTACTTTAATATTTAAACAAATGTACTTCTTGAAAAATGACTTGCATATACATGAAATATTCGTGATTATTGAGACTAGAGCAATAATGAGATAAATAAAGGTAAAATGAGACCATCCCAACTCACCTTTAACATGGTGGTTTAGCCCTCTTTCTTCTAGAGAGAGATGGGGCCATGGTTATTTACAGCCAGAATGTCTCCTAACCTTTGTTCTGCAATGATTTGTGTGTTTACTCTGATTTTAGCCACAGAACTTGTTTTCCATTCTATTAAAAATGAGTATCTATCTTATTTTAAATGCTACTAATATTCATAAGGTATCTTCTTTGTCTCTTGTGCCTGCATATATATTCATTTCAAAAAGATCTAATAAGAAACCCAAACATTGTTGCATTTTGACAAATGTCCACATCTAGTCCCATAATGTCAAATTTCACTAAAAACACAGCCTGACAATTCAAATCCAGTGGAAGAAGAAAACGACTCAGAAATAGATTGACAATCCCAGATGGCTTTATAAACACCTAAAAGGAAAATTCGGAGTGAAATGAAATGGCAGGTGTGATAACATGATTTTTGTTTAATGATCAATTCCTCCATGGGGAATAAAACTTTTTAAACACACCGCCTTGAAAAAGAGGGAAATAGGCATTCAGGAGCCTGGCATTCCCAGGTGTGCTCCTGGGGTGTTCATTTCTCCACATTGCCATCTTGGAGACGACAGGACCCATCCAAATGTCCAAACAAAAAAATGATATTAAGAGGCAGGTGTCACCATATTGACTGACTGTTATTAAACCCTACAACAGGTTATAAGTAAGACTATAGAATGACCAACCCAAGGAGCTTTAAAATAGGATAGCCTAGTTTTAAATGGTTCAGCCATGGGAAATGCTGGAAGACAAGGAAATGAGGTAGATGACTCCATAGGTTTGTTTTATATCTAGTGAATATATCCATCCCATGTTAATTTTTTTTAAATGACTATGATAAAGAGCATCTTTGGGGTCAGGTAGACCATGAGGAAGAGAAAATGGTACTTGGTTCTTTAAGTGTCAAACAAGGATCCAGCCAGGGTTGATGGCAATGGCATAAGGCTTGCATCTCTTGGTGGTGAGATACCACATCCATGGACTATGGAAGGAGAACATTTCCTAAAACACGGGGATCCCTCTGGGCCAAAATGAATGATGCTCACAATCCCCAGCTAGAGCAAGGCTATAGTGAGTACAGCAAACATAAGGCAAAGTATCCTCAGAATTTGGTAACATGGCAAATTGTAGAACATAAGGCTTAGAGCCAAGGTCAGGGGAGGGCTCTGTAATGCAGTTCCTTCTCGGGTGAAAATCCAGGTATGTGCCCCAAGTGACCCATTTCTGCCCCATTTTTGTTTGGGCTCTGAAAAGTGGATTCCTAGCTCAGTGGCTGTCTGCCAGGTATTTTTTGCCTACAGTAACAGAATTATGTCTGATATCGGAAAGGAGTTTGTTGAATTGTTGCTTTTATAATTCACTCTCAGTGTCAAATGAGGTCATTCAATTTCCTCCTGCACATTTGCAATAAGCAGCATAAAATTCAAGCAGGACAACTAGAAGACAGAGAAAGATGGCTGAGCTGATAATGAGGCCTGTTTATTACAGGAGAAGAGACAATATAGGAATCTGTTAAGTCCCATGAAGGTGAAATAGCCATCAAAAAATATTTACCAAAAAAAAAAAAAAAAAGTCACTAGGAGTTTTTGTTATGGTCACAATCACAGTGTGAACACAGATTACAAAATCATCTTTGGAAAAGGGACACGACTTCATATTCTCCCCAGTAAGTGCTGATTATGTGATTTTCTAATATTGACTCCCACCAAGTTAAAAGCGTTGAGTGTGTTGAGTGGGAAAGTTTCTAAGACTGTGGGTGGCCTCTCGGTTCTGGGCTCTTCTCATGCAGAGGCCCAGTCCTCACCCTTTCCGTAGCTGAGCCAAATACCAAATTCTCCCCTCCAGGACTGCAAAAGCTGTTGCCGGCCTTCTGCTACCCAAATATCAACTATCTTTTTCATTGTTAGGAAGAGCAAAAGAATCATGACACTTTGTCCAGAACTTATTTTCTGGTCTTTCCCCCAGGCTTGTCCCTGGTAACCTTTGTTTGGACAAATTGTTAAGCCCGGTGTGGTTTTTGGCTCCAACTAAATTGATTTTGGAAATGACTCCAGTATACCTATGACTCCTCTCCTTCCACCCTCCATAAAAGATCTATTTTTCTCTGGCCTCTGCTGAGATTTCTGGCTTTGATGCCCCATGATCTCTCCTTTCCTTTGTTCCAGGGATAAGTGAGAGGTGGCTTTTTAAAGAGCTACTTTCGTGTTAGAGACAACAAAGATGATATGCCAGCCAGCAGCACATCTTGCATTGAGCCTTCTCACTCTATGCCATTTTCCAAATATTTTTTCTTTATTTAGGATAAATGACCACTCTCTTTTATTTCTAGTACAGCAAAGAGTTCATCATGATGTCAGAAACAGGGATTTCCTTTGGAATATTTTTCACAGGCTAACAATTGTTAGAAGTCAGCAAGCAGTTCAGAAATGCATCACTGGGCTACAACTCCATGTATGGAAGCTCATCAGCAGGGTAGACAGGCAAAGCAGGAACATTTTGATTATACCATACTTCGTAGAGATTCGACAAGAAGTAGGCAAATACGTGCTAAGAAAGAACAAAAACTATGATTAAGTGGGGAGATTTCTAGATGATTCTAACAGGGAAGATGACTAACAAGAGGAAATTTCCAGGAAAACCACCAATGCCAGGCATTCAGGATTTTTGTTATGGAGGAAATCACTGTGGGGATTCAGGAAACACACCTCCTGTCTTTGGAAAGGGCACAAGACTTTCTGTGATTCCAAGTAAGTGTTTCTAGCCATTCCTGATTTTGATCAGCAATGGCTGCTTCCCCTGAATATTTTTCAGTGTACCTAGAATGCTTTTGCCCCCAAGAAAGGTTTAGAAGGAGCTGGGCCATTAGCACTGAGCAGGAGGATGAACAGGTTACTCTGTTATATTTCAAAAGCCAACTGGACAGTCATGACCACACACAGAACTGGGCACTGCACTGCACCATGACCTCATTGCCTCCAGCTTCTTCTGACCACACATTCTGGCTCAGTTCCCTCCTCTGATCCCAAGAGACCAAAGCCCTAGGCAGAGAACCAGACATAGAAAGGCTTGTCTGAGATCTAAAAGCTGCAGGTTTCTGCTTAATGCTGTTATTAATTTTGATTTGCCCAGATAATATACTAAAATTTCTCATTGTAAACCATTCAAATTACAGATAAAGGCCAGGCAAGGTGGCTCACACCTGTGATCCCAGCACTTTGGGAGGCTGAGGTAGGTGTATCACCTGAGGTCCATCGAGACCAGCCTGGCCAACATGGTGAAACCCCACCTCTACTAAAAATACAAAAAGTAGCCGGGCATGGTGGCAGTCACCTGTAATCCCAGCTACTCAGGAGGCTGAGGCAGGAGAATCACTTGAACCCGGGAGGTGGAGGTTACAGTGAGCCAAGATTGTGCCTTTGTGCTCCAGCCTAAGTGACCAAAAAAATAAATAAATAAATAATAAATAAATAAAGCAAACATTCCCCTTGGCCCCTTCCTTCATTATCAGTTTCCTCCACCCCAAAAGTGACCACTGAGACCAGCTTGGTGTGTTGTAACGAGTTTCTCTGTGGAATATGTTTATGTGAAATCGTGTCTTCAGCCAGGGAAGCTTGAGAGGGAAAGGGCTCAGACTGCTGTTTGCAGGATTTCAATTAGATATAAGGAACAGTTGCTTGAATGTAAGGGCTGCTAGAAAAGGAAAGCTTTTTAAAAACTAGAAGCTCTTAATAACTAGACAGCTCTTTGGTCAGAAAACACATTGGCTAAGGACAGGAGGATGGAGTCGGTGACCTCAGAGTCCAGCCAGGACTCCGGAGGACTCTGCGGAGTGGTCCGTTTCATAGACTGCCTTTGCGATGCCCTTCTCTCTTGCCTATTGTCTAGTTGCTGTTACAGTCTGAGCTTTTGTCAGAGCAGCTCCTATGCTGGGAGTGGTCTGATTTTCTCAGCACCTGCGGGGTTTTTGCAAAGAAAGGAAACCCTGTGCATACTCTGGGTCCGGGAGTTACCAGCTCACTTTTGGGAAGGGGACCAAACTCTCGGTCATACCAAGTAAGTTCTTCTTTCTGGCTAATTATTCTTCCCAAGAACCCTGTCTTCCATCATGCAGAAGCTGTCAAAACACAGGTGGTGTTTTCTTTGCTTGGTTTGTGTTGGGTGGTTCATGATACCAGTTGGAAAACAAGGTTATTAATGCACATATTCCCTGGGGCTTTGCACTTGGACTTTTAATACCCATGTAGTCTCTCCCTGTGAAAATATGTGAACCTCTACGAAAAGAAAGGTCCAAGGAAAGGGTAGGGGGAAGCAGGAATTGGATGAAAATAGCCAAAGGGCCTGCAGGAATACAAACAAGACAGGATCCCAGGAGACAAAGCAGTAGCCACTTTGAGTGAATTTCCCAGGAGGTGCTCCTGCCAAGGCCCATTCCTTCAAGGAAAATTACAGCAAATAGAATTGGGCTGGGGAGTTGCTAGTTATTAGTATTCCTCCCAAGTTCTAACCTAATTACAAGGAGGTTGTTGTGGCCATCGGCAGGCATCTCAGGTTTTGTTTTCCTGCTTGCCTCCCCCACCTCCACCTGTCTTCCTAGAGGCCTGAGTCAAGGTTATTGCAATAGCACTAAATACTGTGTAGCACCAATTCAGGCAAATTAACCTTTGGGAATGGGACTACGCTCATTGTGAAACCAAGTAAGTTGTGTTCTTCTTTGCTTAGGCCTTCAGGGGCAATCAATCAAATCATTAGTTTGAAAAAGACTTTAATCCTGTGCATCTGCTTGGGCTCTTTATTAATGATCTTTCCCCAGGCCAAAGAGTTGGTTCTCTTCCCTGCTTTAAAACGAGATGTGAGTGCATGTATTCATGCACACACCTGTGTCCACATGCAGACTCTTGCTCTAGCTCATGCTAAGGGCTTCTCAGGAGCATATACAACATTTTGAAAGAAATAGAGAAATAAACAATAATGAGCCAATGAAGCTGTCAGGCAGGTTCTCCACCACCCCTGACCAGGCTTCCCAACAGGATCTCTGGCCATATAGGATGTGCTATATCGGATGGTCCAGGATAGGAAATGTCTCTCTGTAGTGAATTCCAAAATTTGGCAACCCTTGTTGACAGAAAGTACTTCTCATATCTAAGTTTGATCGCCTTGCTGCGATTTAAATATCTACTTGAACCACTAGAACTCTGTGCATCTGGATTGAGAATCAGGTCACTACCGTAGAGTATGAGGCTTGGCACCGAGTCCACCTCTGCAACCCCTCTTACCTGTCTTGTGCCCCTCTGGACATTTTGAGCTTAAGTAATAATAGATTAAGAAGGATAGCACGAACTTTGGAAACAGAGAAACCTGAATTCAAGTCGTTGCTCTACTATTTACCTAGCTGTGTGACCTTGAGCAAGTTACTTAATCTCTCTGAGCCTCAGTTTCCCATCCACAAAATGAAGGTAAAAATATTCCTGCCTCACTGAGTCATTGTAAAGATGAAATAATACAGCTAAAGTATTTAGCATAGTGCTCAGAACATAGAAAAAGCTCATTAAACTCTAGCTATTAATAATAATGATAAACATCATCTCCAACCCACTGCAGAGCCTTTGTTTCGCCCCTCGGGCTCTTCTGTCAAGGCTCTGTTATGCATCAGGAGCAGAGCTGGAATCGGGGGAGGGCGGAGAATGTCAGCCTGTTCTATGAAATTCCTCACCTGGGATTTGAAAGTGGAAATAGAAAGAATCCTGACTAATTTAAATACAAAATCATCCAAGTGTCAGAGGCAGGGGAGAGGTTTCTGCAGACAGCTGCATGGCTGGGACTCTTGAGGCTCCACACACACCCTTGGAGCAGGGATGCAGTTCACAGGATGGCAGAGGAAGGGCTGCAGAACTGAAAACTTGTACTACCCCATCACCAAAATGCCCCCAGCATGACTTCCTTTAAGGTGTCCCAAGTCCCTTCCCAAAAGACAGGCTTCCCCATGTGGAGGGGCAGGGACAGAGGGAAGATGAAAACTTCATTGGAAGGACAATCTGTCCCAAGGTTGTCCTTCTACTCTTCGGGGTAGTGAAGCTCGTGAGAAATATGGCTCCTGAAAATAGCCACTAAATGAAACTCTCAAACCTGGAGGTAGAGGATCAGTAAAGTCTGCAGAGACGAAATGGGGCAGTTTATTTCTAAGAAAAGAGGTTGAGGGCAAGGTGGGAGTTAAGTCACACATCTAAACCTGGAAAGGAGGCATTAAACAGAAGATGGAGGGACTCAGCTCTCCAGCTCCACCAGGATTCAGACCACAGGACATGGCTAATACTGCAAGAAGGGAGTTAGGTTAGTGGTAAAACCTTTCTAATAGATTTTTGAACAGTGAAAATGAGCTGTCGGGAGTAGTTGCCAGGGCACTTTCTCTAGAGGGTTTTTGAAAGGAGATAGACGCCCTCCTATCAGCAGTGATTGGAGTACAGCCCTGCCTTGAGGCAGGAGGAGAAATGAGAGAACCTCTTTAAGCCTCTTTCCAGCCTCCGGAGTGTCTCTCCATGAAAAAGACTCAGACTCATTAATGCAGAGCTGCATCCTTCAGGACACAGAGGGTTGCTAGCTTAAGTTTGGAACCTTTGCCGGCTTGGCGGTTCCCAAACTCCCGTTGTTCTCAAGACTTGACAGGACAAATGGGCTGGATTTTTCACCTTAGAGCCAAAAATACTGGTTCTGAATACTGGGTTGTTTGTAGTGTTGAGATGCCCAGGCTAGAGGGAGGAAGCTCTAGAGGATTTTTGCTGAGCCCAGAAACACTGTGGGGATAACTATGGTCAGGATTTTACCTTTGGTCCCGGAACCAGATTGTCGGTGCTGCCCTGTAAGTAAAGTTAAGTGGAGATAGAAAATAAGCCCAGTGTTCGATGTGGGGAGAAGCTGCAGGGGCTTGAGGCTGGGAGTCCACTGTGACCTCAGGAGTGGTGACGGAGGAGGTAGGAAGGGAGTGAGAAGCAGAATCATAAGAACAATACAGAAAGGAAGGGCTCACAGTTTCAGGAAGGAAAAAAAAATCACCAGGTCATATGAATAACACTGGAGGAAATTCACTCCATTGGAGAGCTCCTTCTCAGGAGGGCCTTGTGTCGGGAAAGCTGAGCTGGTAGGTTTTTGATGCTGAGATAATCACTGTGCAGAAGGACAAGCCTTCTCCTTTATCTTTGGGAAGGGGACAAGGCTGCTTGTCAAGCCAAGTAAGTGGCATATAATTTAAATTCCGTGCTGAATATTATTATCTCCAAGAGGAAAACCTGCCCTCTTTTTTTTTTTACGGGAGCCTCCTTGGGTCAGAAGAACATTAAAAGTGTTGAGCAGACCAAAGCCTGGTACCTTAGTCACCTTCTTCATCCTTGAAGGAGCTTTAGAGGTGTGGAGGGGAAGAAACTTACCAGGACTCCACCGATAAGCCAGGCCTTGGGACCCATCTACTCTGTCAGATTTGAGTAAGAAAAATCACCTGCTGGCAAGGTCTTTCTCAGAAGGGGACTCCAATATAGTCATCCTCATTTGATAGATTTTAAAACTCAGGGCCAGACATGGTGGCTCATGTCTGTAATCCCAGCACTTTGGGAGGCTGAGGCGGGTGGATCACCCGAAGGTCAGGAGTTCGAGACCAGCCTGACCAACATGGTGAAACACCATCTCTACTAAAAATACAAAAAATTAGCTGGGTGTGGTGGTGGGCACCTGTAATCCCAGCTACTCAGGAGGCTGAGGCAGGAGAATCATTTGAACCCAGGAGGCAGAGGTTACAGTGAGCTGAGATCATATCGTTCCACTCCAGCCTGGGCAACAAAACTTCACCTCAAAAAAAAAAAAAAAAAAACCTCAGCCAAGTAGAGGCCAGTGATTAACACTTTTCCAACAGGAACAGAACCCAAGCATCCTAAAGTAGTTTTTCCAGTAGACTCATGAATTCAAAACATAAAGTTATTTAAATAACAGGATGACCATGGTGATCAGCTGTCACCTGAGTGGTGCTGAGGACTGGGTCTGACCTAGGTAAACTCCTAGGCCTGTGAGTTTCTATCCCTGCAGTGTCTAAAGTGGATGCCCAGGCTCCACTGACCCCAGCAGTCTGGCTCCCTGCCCCTGCCACCCAGGAAGTGCAGCTCTTGGCACACATCGCCCTTAGTGTCTCGAAAGAAGAGAAATTAGAAGAGAAAGGGGGAAAAGCTTATATCTCATCATGTGGTTGCCTCATTTTGTAGCAAGATTGTTTCCCCATGAGCAGTTTGTCTTCATTTAGCAGCTATCTTCTCTGGGGAAGCCATTTTGTAGAGGTGTTTGTCACAGTGCGACAACTGACGGCTGGGGGAAATTGCAGTTTGGAGCAGGGACCCAGGTTATGGTCACCCCAGGTAAGCCCCATTCCCAGGAGCCTCACCTACCCTTAATATTTGACATGCCCTGCATGCCAAATATTTCTAGCTGAGACTATGAGAAACATATGAAAGGAAGCCATTTCCCTGAACAGCAGTACCTAAAGCCATTAAGCAAAAATGAGAGATCAGATTTGTGTTAAATAGAAACACTTTTGGATAAATAGGAATTCTCATTATTCTCTATCAGTCTCCTGTGTGAATACCCTTATTCCCCTTATAAGGAAAAAAGTTACAATAAGCAGTATAGCCATGATTCATACCGTGGTGTGGGAGCAATCTGCTGTGGATTTGGGGGTGGAGGATTAGAAATGTGTTCAGGCAGATTGGATGTGTTTTTGACAGGATATGTAACACAGTGTGAATTATAACCAGGGAGGAAAGCTTATCTTCGGACAGGGAACTGAGTTATCTGTGAAGCCCAGTAAGTATAAAATTGTATCCCTGGATTAAGCAATGTCTGTGGATTCAGGGCTGATTTAGACCCAATTATATACTATATGAAGAATGTTTAGAGAGGGGGATGAGCATCAAATAGGAAGCCAGACATCGCCCTGGCTAGGATCTGGCATCACAGTGCAAAATGGACCATGTAAGTGTGTCTCTGGGAATTGCTCCTGAATATAGGTGTTGGGACTAAAGGTTATGACTGACTACTTGGGGTGTTGGCTGGGATCATAGCCCTGGATTTATGCAGTAATTTGTGACAAGATTTCTAATTCCTTAACAAATCTTCTAAGGCACTATTCTATTTGGCTAAGATTATGTCAATTAATAGAAAAAAAGGACCTTGTAAATAATGATCATTGACCAAAAGAAATGTGATTAGTCTTTCCCAAAGTCTGGGGGGGGAAAAAAAAAAGCACCTTTTTATTTTTTATTTATTTATTTTATTACGCTTTAGGTTCTGGGGTACATGTGAAGAACATGCAGGATTGTTGCATAGGTACATACATGGCAATGCAGTTTACTGCCTCCATCCCCATCACCTATATCTGGCATTTCTCCCCATGTTATCCCTCCCCAACTCCCTAACCCTCACTGTCCCTCCCCTAGTCCCCCCCAACAAACCCCAGTGTGTGATGCTCCCCTCCCTGTGTCCATGTGTTCTCATTGTTCAACACCCAGCTATGAGTGAGAACATGCGGAAAAACACTTTTTAAAAAAAAAAAACAGTTTACTCATGACTACTGAGGGACACTTCCTGTTTCTGAAACTTTTGGCCAAAAATTCATACAGCATAGCCTCACAGAGCAGAGAGAGCCTTGACAACCTTCCTTTCTGATTTTCTCCATGGATGAGAAAACTGGGGCTCAGGGAACAGACTGATCATGGCCTCACAGCCAGTCTATGGCTGAGCTAGAACTAGATCTTAGGTCTCTAATTTGCCAAACCTGTCAGTTTGCTCAAACTTGAAGTTTGAGGAATCCGCAGATTCATCTGACAAATATTGTCGTGTACTTGTACTCTGCCAGGCTTGGTGCTGAAACCAGAGATCCAACAGGAAGCAAACTCAATGTGATATTGCCCTCATGCAATTTACATTCTGGAGGTGGATTTCATGTTTTCTCTCGGATATGACAATGCACACCCTGATTTCTCTTGGGCATGATTCTCTTACACCATCGTCACTTCCTTAATACTAAAACTAATTTTTGCTGCAGTTTCAAAGTCGCTTAGCAGATAACTAACACACATACCACTTTAGTCATGAGAAAGGAAATGGCCCAAAAGTGAAGTAGAAAACTAGCAATTTCTCTGATAATTGATTAATATAAAATTATTTTATCAATGTAAAATGAGTGGCCAAGTTAACTGGGCAATGCTGCTCTGTACCAACCTGACTTAGATTCTGTAGACTCAGCCTCAGGAGGATTCAAGAATTCAGAGAGTTCTCTGATGGCATAACCCAGCAATGCCCACAACAGAGAAATATTCTCTATTCTGGACTTCGTGAGTCTCCTTGGATGAAAAGATGCAAGTGCTATTTTGACACCTAAAATCAGGGAGTATTGGCTCTACACACGTATATTGAAAACACGCAGCTGATGTTTAGAACTTTGTAGTGGAAAGTGGAAAGCAAAGATTCCTTAAAAGAAAATGGGATTGTAAAGCTGAAGGAGGGTGTGCTTAGGATTTGTAGACAATCAATTTGGCTACTCCAGGCCAAACCTAGATTGACAGTGATGCAGGCCTAATTCATAAAGGAACCACTGCCAACTCTTAACTCAGTGCTCTGCCAGCCTGGCCTGTTTGATTGGGTTTTTGTTGTTGAGCAAATCACAGTGTTTCTTCTGGTTCAGGCTGGCAACTGACCTTTGGATCTGGGACGCAATTGACTGTTGTACCTGGTAGGCTGCCACAAATACTATTTGCACTGATTTACTAATCTATAAATGTATTCTGTACATGTAACTTAATGGGCCTGAGGTTGAAGATGGGGAGAGGCAGCCACAATGCATACTGGAAGGGTAATGTGAGCAGATAATTATTTATTAGAGACCAAGAAGAGAAAGAGAAGCCTTTTTGCTAAGACTTTTGCTGATAGGAGTTGTTGAAAATGAATAGAAAAAAATTCATTTTAACCTAGAAGAATTGCTGAATAATGGTAATAGATTCCATAAGGGAAACCTCTGTTTCTGATAATATTTGCACTAGGACCAGATTACATGCGACAACAGCTATCTCACACCAAGTCTAGTTGGCCACTTACATTTCTAGCCTATTCTAATAGCTATTTCTAAATAAGTCATTAAACACAGAGGTGCCTATATTTAAGATATTTAAATAAGACTCTATTTCTATAGCTCTCTGGTGCCCTTCCAGCAAAGCATTCTTGTAACATGTTGCTAATCATTTCTACAAGTGAGAACAAGTAAGCCCCTTGCCCTCCAAAACTGCACAAGTATTATAATTACTTGGCTTAGACTGAAGTCACTTCTATGTTATTTCTCATAACTGTGCTCATTTGTTGAGATCTGTTTAACTCCAAACTGTGTGGGTGTCTAACTGTTGGCACTAAGGTTCCTTTTCTCTTGAAATTGTCAGCAAAATATTTTGCCCATAAATAGTGTTTCATCTAGAGTTGCAAATGACAACCAACACTGCAGTGTCTTTTTTTCTTTCTTTCTTTTTTTCTGAAGGGAATATGCAAGCAGGAAGGAAAAAAAAAAAAGCCAAAATGTACAGTTTTGACTATAGGGCATGGGAGGAGAGTGTCAATATGGATGTTAAAATGCGTGTGGTTGTATAATGTAGGTACCGTGGTACTGTGACAGAGGGGTTATAGTGATCTTATTAGGTCATACATGCAGAGCACCTTTGTCCAGCTGGCATTGTTCAGGGTGTCCTTAAGAAAAACTCAGATGTAGTTGTCAAGTACAACCCAGATTCAGATACAGAGTCTCAGAGAGAAGCTTCCAGATCGCCCTGGAGCTAAAGGCAGAATATGAATTTTCCCCTTAGTTAAGTCTACCTGAGGGGAATTTTCATTTATAATTAAGAAAAAGGTAAAGAACATTTACTTGCAGTGTCCTTGTTTCAAATTTTGTGTGCATTGAGCACAGAGGACACAAGAATGAACTCAAGCAGAAAACTAAAGAAACGAAATCAATAAAACCGCTGAAGAAAAGCAGTTGCCCTTATCTTGCCTGTCTCTGATAATGAATGTGCCTTCCCTGCTCATTCCTCACTCTGGTTCTCAAATTTTCCAGGGAATTAGCAAAGAACTGGTGTGGTTGGGTTAGTCTTGGCCTACTTTGGTTAGTCATCTCTGGATAGCAAGTCTCCTTTTTAGGAGGTGCCAGGAGATTTTTTGTAATGCCAGTAAACATGGTGTACAACGTCAACAGACTTTACTTTGGATCTGGGACCAAACTCAATGTAAAACCAAGTAAGTTATAGTTGCCTAGAAGAAAAAGTTTCCAACATATTATGCTAAATTCTTCTTCTCAGTCTGTATTTGAGTTCTTTTATTTTGCATTTTGGGTCCCCATCCATAACATTTTATTAGTCCTTATTTATATGTCACTTGAACAGATTTATGGTAAACAAATCCTATGATCGAGTAAATATCCTGAAACTGCCAACCGTGTTCTCAAGGTGCTATTTATTCTATACAAGGAAAATACCCAAATTTTAACTGTTGCTACTTAACAAAAGAGCATTTAGATATAATTTAGAGTACCCATGAATGTCCAGGATTTCAGAGAGGAGACATGACAAATTAAAATTATATGTATTATTAAAAGATTAAAAGAATTAGATCCCCTTGATAAGACTCTAATAACTAACATTTCTTGAACACTCACAATGTGCAAAGCACCTTTCATACTTTGACTCATTAGACCCTCTTAACAACCCTCTGGGATAAATATTACCTATCTCCACTTTCACAGATGAGGAAATGGTGTGAAAGTTAAAACTAAAGCAAAGAGGTTGAAATAGTTGCCCAAGGGCCCACAGCAGATGAGGGGCAGAGCTAGATTAAGAGCCAGGCCTGCGTGTCCCCCAGCCCACTCTCTTAGCCATGGACTTGGGGAGGTTTTTGTAGGGTGACCTTTCACTGTGGCTCTGACAACTACAAGCTCAGCTTTGGAGCTGGAACCACAGTAAGTGTAAGAGCAAGTAAGTAAGAAAGAAAAATCCAGAATACTTTTAAGCAAACTGGTGGGTATGTTTATAAGCAATTTCACCTGGGAAGTGCAATGGTCAGGAACTGAATTCCAAGAGCTTTCCCAGTTTGTGTTAGAGCCGCTCACGTCTCCCTCACCTTCTCTTTCACCTCAAAACCGCTCTCCTAAGGCATGCCTTCACAATGGTACATCTGTTGGTGGCACAGTCTTCACGGTCAGATAAAAACTGAGCTAATTATCTGAAATTATCTCAGGTCTCTAAGAGAGAATATTAACTCCTTTCAAATATTTGAAGAATTAACATCTAGACCAGGTAGGGGGTGAGTGTGGAGGCAAAATCAAAAC